ATGTAAGTCACAGCAACCAGGGGGCAGTAAATTTGATGCATTGATGCTGACATACCAAACTAGTGTAGCAATTACAGTTCTATTTAGTAATAGCACATAAATGCTGAAGTAGAAACTAACAACTATAAAAAAAATGTATGCATACTTGTACTGCTTATTTTGTGCCATCTCTGACAAGAAAATATATTTAGAGATGATAGGCATAAATTGTTTCTACATCAGTGGATATACACACACTACAAAGTGTTTCCTGCAGAAAATGAAAATTTTAAATGTATGTCACAAAAACACTTATTTACACTTTTCTACTCCAAATATTTTGCAATTCGTTTTCCTCAACAGAAGGATTCATGTCACTAACTCTACTCTCTTCGTATGACAACTGGTAGCATGTTTTGAAACTCAAATTTCTCTGGGTACCAGAAAGATTAGTTTTCTTTTTTAATAATGCCAACTTGGTGTTAAATATTGGGTAATGAAAGAAATCATACCCTAGAAAGGATATGTCCCAGCTGAAAAGACTAACCATGACCTTGTCTCAAAATGCAGTTTTTTCTAAAAAATGGAGTACTACTCAGCCATAAAGAATGAGAAACTAGACTCATTCATAGGAAAATGGATGCATATTGAGGCCAATACATCTTAAATGAAATAAATAAGACACACATGTGTAAATACCGAATAGTTTTTCTGGTGTGAAAACCTAAAAGTGTAAATAAGATCCAAATTGTATAATTGATAATGTGAAATAAGAAGAAAAGGGCTAAAGGTTTAGAGGAAGTGGGAAGGATAAGGAAAAGGTAATAACGGAAAAGAAAAAATATGAGAAAAGGAAAAAGTGGAAACAAAGTCTTTGTAAATAGGGAAGGATGGAGGGGGTGAAGGGAGGGCAGGGGTATGGGGAAAAATGAGAACCAAGATCTGTCATGTAAAGGTACAAGATCCCAGTGATAAATGTAACTATACTGTGTGTGTGTGTGTGTGTGTGTGTGTGTACACACACACACACACACACACAAGCACTGTGATATGTATCTATACTGTGTGTGTGTGTGTGTGTGTGTGTGTGTACACACACACACACACACACACATACACATATATATCACCAGTATTATTAGATCTTTTGCTTCCACAAGCAGGAGAAAATATTGATTTTTTTTTCCATTTTAACTAACCCCAAATTAAAAATGACCGTAGAGTTCAAATAAAATATTTCACTTCGTCACAAGCAGCATCTAGGCTTTTAGGCCAGACATGAGTCAATAGAAATCATCATGATACCCCTTGATAAAGACCACTGTCACTTCAATAGGCACTTCCCATTTCTCAGTTGGTACATAAGAAAGTCACAGAATATTCTCATTATCTCTACTGATGGAGAGATTTATCATTGATGTGGAGTTGTCATTTATATCCATGCATTTTTTTCTATCCACAATTTTCAGTGATTATAATTGTTCCCTCCAGCACAAGGCTATTATGCTTTAAATTAAGCTTGATGATGCAAGGATGCTGTTACATAAAATTCTGATCCCTTGGCCTTTAAGGAAAAAACATGGTTTAATTATTTTATGTTCTCTCTTGAGAAAGTAAAGTGTTTATGCACCTAGAATACTCCTGGCAAAAACAAGTTTGAATACAATTAATTTATTAATGGAAATGTTTTATTTTATTCATTCATTCATTCATTCATTTATTAATTCACTGTGTGAACTTTTCTTTAGCACAAACTGTATGTCCATAATATTATCAAACATTGCTATATGTGTAGATTATTATCTAGAACTGGAAAACCATTTTTGCAGGAAAAAAATTCAGTTATCTTCAATTAATCCAGTAAAATATAACCTAAATTTTAAAAAGAAAGGCCACATTTTGCCTTTAATCCTTTGACTTTCAGGAACTGTTTCACCTTTTTCTTTTAATTCTACTTTCTAGAAAAGTATAATAGAATCAGATTACATTATGTATATCTAAATAAATGATTACTTCTTGGTTAATCAGACCTTTAAACTTGAATTTTATAACCCCCTAAATGTGATCTGTCAACTTCAATGGATTAAGAAACATGTAGTAATTAATAACTGTGCTCCTGGGCACGTCTAGATAGGTCATAGAGGTGATCTTGGGTACTATGTATGGTTCCTAGCCGAATTCTCTCTTGCATTGTTCCCTCGCCCTGCTTCCGGAACACTATAAACTAAGCAGCTTTTCCTAGCCATTCACGTCTATCTTGTTGTTTCCTCTTTGGAACCAGTTGAGCATGGACTGAATCCCTGAAACCATGAACCAAATTAAAGCTCTCCTCCTTTAAATGGTGGCTATCAGTTATCTTGTCCCAGCGAGGGGAAAGTAACTAATAAATAAGCCAAATATACTGGGGGTAGGGGGAATCGTAAACTATATATCTAGAACCAAAAAATACAAGTCAAGATCTCATAAATTAATTTTATACTTATTCCAGGTTTCATTAAGATTTAATAGTTTAAAGCTAACACATTGTAAAAGAAAAAGCTTTAGTAATATTTGATTAATAGTGATGATATACTATTTTCATTTTATTATTCTTTGCTAACACATTTTAAAATCTGATTTCAAAACTGATACTTATTAGTCACATAGAAACAAAGGTACAAGTGAAGTTCTAACTTCAAATACATATGTTCTTATAAAAGCTGTATGTATGCTTATTTTTTGATAAGATATTTAGCAGTTTGCCAACTGGTTGGTCATTTCAATCCATCTCAAACTTATATCAGCGTTATATTCTATAGGGAAAGCAGGGCTAGATAAACAAAAGTAACAAGACCTCCAACTTTCCAATTTAATGGGATCACCTTTCTAATTTCACAAAAGTAGCCCCAAGCTTTCTCTTGCTTGGGCGAAATAACTGATACTGTAACATTTTTTTTCCTCATTGAGTATATTGGTACATTTTAGGTATACAGTACAGTTACATTCATTATTGAGATCTTGTACCTTTCCATGACAGGTCTTGGTTCTCGTTTTTTCGCCTTGTCCCTGCCCTCCCTTTACCACCTCCTCCCCTCCCCATTTACAAACATTTTATTTCCATTTTATCATTTTCTCATATTTTTTTCCTTTCCCTTATTACCTTTCCCCTACCCTTCCCATTTTCCGTACTCCTTTAGCCCTTTTCTTCCTATTTCATATTATCAATTATCTCGTTAGGATCTTATGTACTATTATAGTTTTTCACACCAGAGAAACTATTCAGTATTTATACATGTATGACTTATTTATTTCACTTAGGAGTATATCCTCAATATATTTCCATTTTCCTATGAATGAATCTAATTTCTCATTCTTTATGGCTGAGTGATATTCCATTTTATAGAAAAAACACATCTTCTTTATCCAGTTTCCAACTGATGGGCAAATGGGCAAGAAAGTGGGGGAGGAGGGGAGGGAAGGGGAAGAGAGGGACATTTTACCTCACAGTTTGAGAGGTTTCAGTCAAGAGTGGGCTGGTTCCAGGACTGACACATCATGGTGAACAGCTTAACAGAGGAAGCTGCTCACTTCACAGCACCAGAAGCAGAGAGCAGTGGAAACTTGCCCAAGAAGGGCCGAGGAGCCAGACACAGTCTGCAAGACCACACCCCCACTACATCATCCTCTGTCTTGGGCCTACCTCCCTAAAAAAGCCCATTCACTGTGAACTCATAAATGAGTTGACTCTCACAATCGACTCACAACCCAATCACCTCTGCAGGAGCCTTTTTATCCAGCCAAGTCGACAAAGATTAACCAGCGCATCCTATATATGAAGATAAGGAGATAGCAGTAGCGTGACATGACCTGTTTATAACGGGTTACATTTAATACGGCATATCTATCATTCATACTACACACAATCTTAGCCAAAAGGCCAAGAAGTGACACTACTTGTAATTCAGAATTGGTTATTTTTAGTGCATGTGTGTGTATGGGGGGATGTGGTATACCAGGGATTGAACCCAAGTCCTTTACACTAAGCTACATGCTCAGCCCTTTAATCTTTTAAAGAAATAAAATTTCCAGTACAAGCGATAGAACCCAGGTTCTTGCTTACTAGGTAGTTCTTTACCACTAAGCCACACTCCCAGTACTATTGATTTTTTTCTGAGATAGAATGTCATCTCACTAAATTCCTAAATGGCCCAAACTTGCAATCCTGCTTCAGACTTCTACAATGCCAAGATTATAGAAATGTGCCACTTTGTCTAGCTTAGTGCTGTGTGTTTAATTCAACTCTGGATGTGTCATCGTATTGGATAGCCAATTTAAAGACCAGGATATCTTTCTAAAATATGAAAATGCATACTATGAAAACATTTTTCTTTATGATTAAGAATTTACATGGGATTTTTGGAGATTTATCTTTCTCATATTAGATAAAAAATGAATCACTAACATTTATTGCTTACTGAGATTAGGAAGAATAATGACCTCCAAATTATCTATAACCTAGTCCCCAGAATTTATGAATATGTTAGATTATTTTACAAAGCAAAATTAATATTGTAGATGGAATACATTTTCTAATAAACTGATTTTATAACTGGGATATAATCCTAGATTATCTGAATTGCTTCATTGTAATCACAAAGGTATTTAAAATGGAAGAGGGAATCAGAAAAATGACAGTAGAAAAATGACTCAATCAGAAAAGGAGGGGGTCTCGAATCTAGGAAACGGAGCACCATAGGGTTTCCAAAGGCAAGGGAAAGGATTCTCCTCAGAATAAAACACATAACCTTCTGACACCAATCAGCATCCAGTGAGAGCCATTCAGGATTTCTAAACTACAGAAGTGTAAAATAAGACTATGCAGTTTCAAACAACTAAGTTACAAGTCTTTTTTTTTTTACAGCAGCCAAAAAAATTGTGGAAGATTTTTGTTTCAGAAGTTTTGGGTACTGAAATTAATAAACCAATTGAAATTTTAAAATTTAAGGCATTGCTTATATGTTTGTTTGTTTGCTTATTTTCAGGAGGTAATCCACAGCAGTCAGGCAGTGAAAAGAAATGAAGAAATTTCCAAAGCAAATGGGATTGATGCTCTTGAAGCAGGAATGGTAACTGCTAAGAAAAACTTTACTTTCCAAATAGGTTTTCAGAACTCAGTAGACTTTCTAACCTTTTTTTTTACTTCATTGAGTTTATTGGTACATTTTAGGTATACAGTCCAGTTACATTCATTATAGGGATCTTGTACATTCTAACTCTATTGGGAGCCCTTGATTTTATTGTCCTTTAAGTATTTACTGTCTATATATATATAT